AGAGGAATAACAGAAAAAAGCCAAGATAAAGGTTTGTCTTACCATGTCTTTGTAATGTAATGTAAAAGATTTGTAAAGCTGTCAATACAAAATTAGCTTGAACGATCCAGTTCAACGGCTAAACATTTATGCGAAGGTCTTTGAGTTTGTGTGTGTTGGGTACTATTTGGTGAGGTAAGTTTGTTTTCCTTTTCAGTTTCCACCGTTTGTCCACCAGAGGGTGCCATCAGGCTGTGTTTTTAAAGAGGGCGTGCAGGTGTTATACCGAGAATCGCAGCGACAGAGCCCCCTCATAACTTTGGCAAATAAAGAGTAACTGTTTTAAAATGATCAAAAATTGTTGTGTGATAACATGTAGTATACTAGAAATTTCTTTTTAATCCAGTAATCTGTCATATTTTACATTAGAACAAGATTTACCAGAAAGTCTACAGTCTCTTCTTTTCAGGAAGTCTGGTGCCCTGCTTTCAGCCAGTTTCCATCCTCTTATATCAGGAATGAAAAATTACGGGTCCTTCTCAAAAAATTAGCATATTGTGATAAAGTTCATTATTTTCCATAATGTAATGATAAAAATTAAACTGTCATATTTTAGATTCATTGCACACCAACCGCTCATGAAAACCCAAAATTCCTCTAAAAAAATTGGCATATTTCATCCGACCAATAGGAAAGTGTTTAATGCCAAAAAAGTCAACCTTCAAATAAATATGTTCAGTTTTGCACTTGATACTTGGTTGGGAATAATTTAGCAGAAATGACTGCTTCAATGCAGCGTGGCATGGAGGCAATCAGCCTGTGGCACTGCTGAGGTGTTATGGAGGCCCAGGATGCTTCAATAGCAGCCTTAAGCTCATCCAGAGTGTTGGGTCTTTCAACTTTCTCTTCACAATATCCCACAGATTCTCTGTGGGGTTATGGTCAGGAAAGTTGGCAGGCCAATTGAGCACAGTAATACCATGTCAGTAAACCATTTACCAGTGGTCTTGGCACTGTGAGCAGGTGCCAGGTTGTGCTGAAAAATGAAAGGTTTTGACTGTCCTTTATTAGTCAATCGTAAGTGACAAAAGTTGGAAAAATTATCTTGGCGTTTAGAATAACAGAAAACAGTGTAAGAAGATTTCCACATAAGACCTCGTTTATTAATTTGTTTTATGATTTTGTTATTGCTTCTTTTAAAAACAGCAGCTGCTGATTAAAACGAATGTTACAACCTTTACATGATTATATGAGTTCTATTTTACTGAGAAATCGATCAGAAGCGCCGTGAAAATGGTCAGATCCGCCTCTCTGGCTGCAATGCTCGCTCCCGACGCAGGGAAACAGAATTTAGCACAAGACCGTCGGTTACATGAACCACAGTGGCAACAGGTCTACTGCCATCATCTACTGGGCAGAAATATAAGGTGATAAACATGCTAAAGAAAAACTCTAAACCTTTATTCCCAAATGAAACATTACATTTAATTAGCTCCTAAGACATTAGCATAACTTTTATATCTATCTAAATACACATAAGCCATTTTAATATAAAAAAGACAATCTTTCACAGAAGACCGCTTAGCAGGAAAGACCAAAATATTGTTACAATTGAAACATCAAATTATTGAAGACAATCACACATACTTTATACAATCAATTCATAAAAGGTAGTGCAGTGAATTTTGCATTTACTGTAAAGTACGAATGGATTTATTATTAAATAGGTAGTTAGACTGATTAATATAATTTGAAACAAATGAAAGCGTCAATTTCCATATTTTGCTTAAAAGACAAACCTATCAGATATTTTACAGATTTGAGAACACCGACCCATTTTAGTATGTTCTGTTTTTGATTGTAAAAAAAAAAAAAAAAACCTTATCCGATTATAAATACTTATCTTTCCTCCATTAAGCATTTTGGGAATTTTATTCATTAAGGAAATGCGATACCCATCTGTATCAGGTAATACTGAAGAAAACTTCAATCAGAAAACAGTTTATGTTTATGAATTATTTTAAGCATCGTCTTCATCAGCCCCTTCATCCTTCCTGTTTTAAACTCAACTTTATGTTATGTTGTGGAAAAAAAATCTGGATTTTAAGCATGAGAAGAGCCTTTGCTCTCACTATAGCTAAAGCAGTCAAACCACTGAAATCCTGGTTTGAAATAATTTTACTCAATAAGTTGAGGACTATGTTATGGTCAGGAATAAACTGACAAATTAGGCTTCTTCATTACAATTTATATTTTAGATCTTTTTGTGCTCTAAATTAATTAATTACCCGAGTGATTTCTCATGTGAACAGTTAAATGACATTTTTCACCGAAACCTTTTCCGCAAGTCAGACACCAAAAAGGCCTCATATTGTGTGAATTACAATATGATTAAGTAAAACACGTTTTTGACTGAAACATTTCCCACAGGTTACACATGAAAATGGCTTTCCCCCTGTGTGAGTTCTCATATGAGCATCAAAAGCAGTTTTGAAAGCAAAACGCTTTCCACAGTTCACACATGAAAATGGTTTTTCCCCTGAGTGAATCATCATGTGCTCAGTTAAATATTGCTTTCGACCAAAACTTTTCCCACAGGTGACACATGAAAAAGGCTTTTCTCCTGAGTGAGTTCTCACATGGACATTGAAAGCAGATTTGAAAGCAAATCTTTTTCCACAATTCACACATGAAAATGGCTTTTCACCCGTATGAGTTCTCATGTGAAAGTTGAAAGCAGATTTGAAAGCAAATTGCTTTTCACAGATCACACACATAAAAGGCTTTTCATCTGTGTGACACCTCATGTGACTAGTTAAAACCCGTTTTTGACGAAAACATTTACCACAGGTCACACATGAAAACGGCTTTCCATCCATATGAGTTCTCATGTGAGCCTCAAAAGCAGATCTGAAAACAAAACGTTTTTCACAGATGGCACATGAGAAAGGTTTTCTTCTTTTCTGATTTTGGTTCTCAGCTTCAGCAGCTTCCTGGAAGATGACTTGGTTCCTGTTTGGTTCTGATTCAGTTTGGGATGTTTGTTCATCAACAAGAACCACAATATAGGTATCAGTCTCCTGTTTTAACTCAATATGTTCTTCACCCTGACTGAAGTAAACTTCTTTCTCTTCCACTTTTATCTGGTGATGTAGATCCTCCTGTTCTTCTTTTATCTGCTGATGTTCTAGATCCTCCTGCTCTTGTTTTATCTGTTGATCTTCTGGTTCTTCCTGTTCTTGTTTCACCTGCAGAGGTTCTAACTCCTCCTGGTCCAGAGTGGATCTCCTCTCCTGGTTACAAACATTACACTGCAGAGAATCTGGAGAAGAAAACAGAAAAAAGAGGAATTGACTTCATTGAAGTAAATGAAAAACTTTCATCATTTAAGAGAGAAATCACCAAAAAAAACAAAACAAAACAAAAAAAAAAACGCCTGAAAATTCAAGAGTGTGGAAAGAGATCAGTTCACATATCCAGTTGACCTTTGGAGACTTCTCTTATGGCCAGGGGTCTCCTCATGTGCAGCTTTCACAATAAAAACTGGCATATGGAGAAAAGAAAAGTAGCGCATAAAAATTTGACTTGTATAAAAACATGCGCATGCAAATGGCTGCTCATCTTTCATTTCTACATCCAAGTTTGCCAGAAATTCACATTAGGCACTTTTCCTCATATAAGTTGGACATTTACAGAATGGAGACACTTTCTCTTCATAAAGGTGAATTCATTTGCATGGCTCAACTGAAAGATGACTGACTGAACCGTCAGCAGCTTCAGCTGCACCGGTACCACCTGGTTCACCTTCTGCTCTGAGATCCAGGATGATCATTCTGGACCATCAACATGTCCCAGATCAAAAATCAATATAGTCTCTGAACGCGCACTCCCTACATGAACCCTTGAATTGGCAATGTTCTCCATCAGTAATAAAGCCTTGTATATTTTGCAGATACTTAAATACTCTCAGCAGACAAAATATGTGACTGTCGTCATAAGTTGTGTAAGATTTTTTCTTTGAAACAGGGTGGACACTTTAGAAGCTGCTTAACGGTGTAGTTTTGTGAAGATTACTTACCATTCACATTCTGTCTCCCGTCACCAAAGCCCTGCAGTTCGGGACAGAGTTCTGAGATCTTAGGGAGTCATCCGCTTTAGTCAGCGCTAACCAATCGGAACACGTCTTACATCTCTAATCCTTAAGCCCCGCCCAGAATGTTAATATAAGCTTCCCCAAAGCAAATAAAGTTGTATAAGCAAGACGAGTTCAAACAAAAAACAGGAGCTTCAAACAAAAAAATTTGACTCAACCAAAAAAAAGTTTTAAACAAAACATAGTGACTTCAATTAAAAAAAAAAAAATTCTTTAAAAATTTTTTGTTTCGTAAAAAATTATTTTTATGATTAAGAAGTTTTAAAGATTTTTTTTTTGGATTAAATAATTGTGAAACAAATCTAACTCCATATGTGTTTTGTTTTTTTCTAGCTGTTGGTTGATTTGCTAGGATAGCAATAGTAATTTGTTAGCTGGCTAACATTATGTAGCCTTTCTGTTTTGGAAATAAAACGAATTTAGGCTCTAATCTTAATCAGATTTTTATACAGATCCTTCTCAAAAAATGTGCATATTGTGATAAAGTTAATTATTTTCCATAATACAATGATAAAAATTAAACTGTCATATTTTAGATTCATTGCACACCAACTGAAATATTTCTGGTCTTTTATTGTTTTAATACTGGTGATTTTGGCATACAGCTCAAAAGTCACCATTATTTTCCTCTGCTTATTTGACTAACTTTGCGCTGCATTGTTTTTACACAAAAGTAAAAATGCCCCTTTAACTTTTCAACATTGTCACATCACAACAACATGCATAAATATATTTAAGTGGAATTTTATATGAAATACCAACAAAAATTGGGATACAACTGTGAACTAACTGACGATGTGAACTATTACTGGGCCATTCTAACACACGAACTTGTTTTGTTTCAAAGCATCGCATTGTAGCCCTGACTTTATGTTTAGGGTGGTTGTCGGGCTAGAAGGCGAACATCGGCTCCGCTGTATATTTTCGTTTTCAAATGTAAGTCTCTGTAGTTATAAAGAAGAAAGAGCCATAAAAAACACAACGGAGGTCACTGGCTCCATTTTCTCTCGTCACAAATAAGCTGTTTCCACAATTGTTATTTCTGCGTTCATTTTGCTATAAGCAAAATATTTACACGGGAAAGGAGCAGTTACTAGAATAATCCTCATACAGAAAGCTTCATACATTTAGACCTTAACCTGCATCCACACGCTGGTGTTTCCTACCTATTCGATGTAAGATTATCTGAGGAATCCGGGAGAAATCCAGCAGTCTGCGCTGATCATCCATCTCTTCCTCCGACTTGACTGTTATTTCTTTAAACTCTGTGAAAGTTTCTTCAGCGGCAGTTAACTGCTTGTTCATAAACTGGTTCAAGCTGGACTGTAGATATTTTTAGAGAAACTCGAACATTCAACACAAAAGACCACGTTCCGTCTTTGTCTTCTTCGTCCTTCTCCTCTTCTTCGGGATTGTATGATGTCGGCATTCATGTCATTGATTTACCGCCACCTTGTGGATCATACGAACATCACATCTGAAGATTTCTCAGTTCTCTTTGAAAAACGTAAAATCTTTTCTTCCACTTTATCTGAATGAAACAAATACAATAGTATTCCAGTTTTCCGTATATCCATTGCTAATATCGTCCTCTGACTCGTATCTTCTACATCCCGCAACATGTTTCATAGTTTATTCACTACACCAGATAACAACCTTTCCCATAGTATTCATATATCCTTATTGAGAGCCGATCAGCACCGGTTTGTACACTTAATTATTTCATTGTTTTTATTTTAATAAATTATAACGCTGAAACAGTGTGTATTACCTGTGCCCATTTTCATTTGCCTGGGGCTGGGAGTAAGTCCCAGGCGGCGTTTTTGGCAACAAGCAAAATCTAATTGTGTATTTTTTACCATCGATTGTGTTGAGTTTTCTTCTTCAGTGTTCACAATGAACCACACTTTTCGTCAGATAGCTGTCTTCACTTAATTGCTAACGTTCAGGTTCAACTTCTTTGGAACAGTGCTGCCTACACAAAAGAACTCGCTCTCATTGCCCCCCAGTGGACAACTGCAGTACAACATGCACGAACATCATATTTAACAGAAAGTAACAGGATAAAGAACTTGCAGCTGTGCCTTTCAAAGTAAATAAAAAACATAAACACATAACACAACATAACTCAAAGACAAGTTAAGATGAGAACATAATCTAAGAGATTGTCACACTTATATTTATTTAATGTTAGCTTATACACTCTTATTACTGCACTAGATGGATTAAATCTCATTTCTCCCTTTAATCCTAAAATTATTCAATATAATATACTGAGATGTTATACTTTAGCTTTGCAAGTATGACTATGCAGTATTTATATTTTTAAGTGGGGATGTTAGTACTGATTTTAAAGTATTCAGTTTAGCTAAGAGTTTTTGCTGTATAACCAGATTTGCAAATTGTTTAAAGGCAAATGTTCTACTTTCTCAGACAGCAAACATATATCTATGTATAGAGATTAAAATAGTTCCAACATGAAATACACGGTAATCTATAATAGAAGACAGCTGCAGCAGAAAAGTGAAAAATACAACTAAGACAAAAGAAATTATTGAAGACATTAATCAACCATACTTTCAACAATCAAGAAAAATCAATTCATGAAAATTAGTTCATAGTGAATATTACAAGTAAAACTATTTTTATTTACTCATAAAGATTTTACATAGGTAGAGTTAGACTGATTAATGTAATTTGAAATGTAAAACACCATCACTTACAATCTCATTTTGCTTGAAAGACAAACCTATCAAAGATTTTATTTATAGATCATTTTGAAAATGCACAATTAATGTAAGAGTTCACACATTGTATTTTTGATTATAAATGTATTAAAGTAAACATCCACCCCACCCACTCTACCTTACAGAATAATACAAATCAATTCCTCAAGTCCAATCTTGTGAGAATGTTCTGGAAGGGAGTCCATGTCCGGTCAGACTCTGTTCATGCATAAAATAGTCAGTAGGCCTGTTGCGATAATCAATAAATCAATTAACCGCACAATAAATTAAAACTCCTGACCTCATTTTAATTATCGGCTTTATTGTTTCTTCCTGCCTTTTTCTCTTTCTGTTGATGACACTGAAAGAAAAAAGGCTCAGCTCCGGTGCTCTCCACTGACCCTCCCTTCCTCATTTCCTCAGTGTAATGCCCAGCTCACGCTACACGATCTTGTCGGCTGATTGTCGGCCAATTTTCAAAACCTGAGACACACATTAGCCGACAGAAATCCTAGGCAGGGGCGCTGCCTACTGACTGCTGCTGAAAACAGCTTCGCGTCAAGTGCGCTAAGCAGGAATGAACCATTTAACGCAGATACGGGGGGAGTTCAGTTTCAATATGGATGTGTGCTTTTTGGTCTGGAAGGGGTAACATTTAATTTTTACTGATTTGGGCGCTGATTTTTTTTATATATGGAAAAAATATATATTATTTTGTGAGGTCCTGTGGCTTTGTGGTCAAAGGTCCTTAGAATTGTCATCACTTCCCCCCACCACCCAACACTTAGCTTTAGTCAACAACTCAGGTGGAAGTGAGAGCTTCGCACAACGCAAGTAAAATCCCGGCCGGAACATGGTGCATTAAATAATATAACTTAGTGAAGCTTTGAGGCAGCTTCACTGCCTCAAAGTGAAGCTGCCTCAAAGTGAAGCTGCCTTCCTTGAGGAAAATTCCTCAAGGAAAAATTCCTCAAGGAAAATTCTTCAATTTTCCTTGAGGAATTTTAATAATCAAGGTACTTGAATAACTCGAGGAATCATTTCAGCCCTGTTCTAGTTTTTAACCAAATCAATTTTATTGTGAAACTCAACATGGGACACACCTGGTAAACACTTCTACGGCTTTTCACCTGTATGAATCCTCATGTGCAGACTTAAACCAAGTTTTTGATGAAAACTTTTTCCACAGGTCACACATGAAAACGGCTTTTCACCTGTGTGAATCCTCATGTGCCGATTTAAATGATTTTTTCGAATAAAACATTTTCCACAGTTCACACA